ACAACGATATTCAGGGAAATATATCAAATACAGCTCAGAAATATCATTGCCAAATTGTATCGTGATCGGTTCCGATTTGGATATAGCTCCCATATATATTTTTATCCGATTTTAAATTAATTGTGCACCAAATGGGCAATACAAGTCCGAATTTAAAATATACAAATGCTTCGGCATATTTAGTCCTTTGAACTTTAAATTATAATAATAATCATAGCGTGTATGATTGAATTCTCCCATAAAAACTTTTAATTGTTATGCGCAGCTCTGCTAAATTAGCAAAGTGGTGTAGGGTATCATAAAGTCGGCCCCGCCCGACTTTAAGACCTTCTTTACCGGTTTTTTGATTGAATTTAGTCGGAATTACCAAAAATCAGTTTATTTGGGCTGATATTTCGTTTGTTCTTCCGTTCGTTTATCCATGTGTTTTTGTGAAAAGAATTTAGGTCCCATTTCTTATCTAATTGAGATGAAATTTTCCAAACAAAATTGGTTTGGCCCAATGATGAACCCTATTGAAATTGGACTGTTGGTTCAAATTAAGATATAGCTTCCATATATATCTACAACCGATTTCGTGTTAATTGTGCACCAAACGCCCAATATCAGTCCAAATGACCTGAATTTTGGCACATCCGAACTAATTCAGTCTAGATAGAAGTACATCAAATTTTGAAAATTGGTTCAGATATAGCTATAGGTCCCATATATATGTTAAATTACATGACTTTATGACATTATTTGAGGAATAATACGGACCAAAAACATGCATATGCACGAAGTAACTAAAATATTTATAATGCTTGGAAAAGAGTTTTGAGTGTGGTCTTCTCGATTACGTCGGTGGGTTTTTAGTAGTCCAATAATGGATCCCAATATCTGTCCATACTTCTGGTTCTTCCTCCCAAACGAACAATATTAGAAAAAAAAAAACAAGTAAGCAAAGGCTATAGTCATGCGGGGCCGACTATGTTATACCCTACAACACAACCCTTGTGTCCAAATCCATATAGATTTCGCTTTTGAAATTAGGCTTCAATTGTGTGATCGGAAAAACGTTTCTGTTTTTGGTTGGCCCCTATGTATCTCCAAATTTAGACTCATCTATATGATTTGCTTGTCTACGATATCGCCTATAAGTAATGCTGGTATTTTTTCACACAAAATTAGTGGTCCATTGTACCCGCTGTCCTAAATTCTAACTATATGCGAGATTTCGTGTCCTTTGGTTTCTATTTGTGACCTTTATAACGGCTGAAAAATCAGGAAAATTTTTAGTTGTTGGTCCATATATTGCGGACATCTTTGAAAACAATAGGCATAGCCCTTCTGAGCCCAACCCTACCCTTGTGAAAAATTTCGTGAGGATCGGACGATATTTGCAATCCTTATATAATATCCCCAACCTGTGTTGTAAGGTGAAAAAATATTAGAAAATATTATAAGTCAAATTAAAAAAATCGCATGCGGTAAAAAATATGAAAAAATAAATAAAAATGTCACAAAATGCTACAAAATATATATTAACATCATTATTGAATTGACAAAATTTGTCAAAATCGGTCCAGCCATTCTTGAGATATAAGCATTCTGACTAACATCCCCTTTCTTTGTATATACACATTGTATATATTTCGCTAAATGTATCCGATATATTTACTATCGGCATCTACGTAACGGTCAGACTTGACCTGTTCGTCTATATGTGATTTCGCCGGGATTAAAAATATTCACGGTTTAATGGAAAATTTGACTTTTATTTAAATATTACCCGATGACCATCAAAATTGAAAGGCTTCTGCCCAGCCCAAAGCTCTAGCCACATGCTAACTTTAATTGCGATCTGTAGAGCACCTGCAAAATCAGGAATTTTGTCAGTTTTTGGTCCATTTTAACCCCTAAATATTATGCGATCATAGGGTTCTATTCTGATCCTAGCCCCACCTCCATTCTAAATTTCGTAATGATCGGGCCATAATTGCGACCTGTAGAGTGATTACAAATTAACATGGACAGACGGACATACATAGCTAGATCGACTCAGCTCGGCGAGATAGGAAGATCCATATATACTTTCCTATGTGGGAAACCAATATTTCGTGGTGTTACATAATTTTTGGCCCAATCAAAATAATCAATAATACCCCCAAAACATGTGTTGTAGGATATAAAAACAACACCCTTCGTAGAAATTCAAGGAAGTATCCGATTTGATTGAAATTTCGAACATTGCAATATTTTTCTGCGATAATGACAACATCGACCTATTTGTTCCTGTACATCCCAAATAAAAGTGAACTTTATAATTGAAACAATTAAATTTAAATTTCGGTCCACTCCTCTTGTCCATAAAAGTTAAATAAAATGTGAAATTAGTTTGTTCAATTAGTTCTGTTTTAGTTCAATTAGTTCAGAGTTCACGATTTAGTCCAATGTTTGTACATAGCTATAAAAGCAAACTAAGGCCAAACCCTATGCTGAGATTGTATATCTTTCGGCAAACCTACTGATGAAATTACTCTCAAATTATTGACATCATCCAACATTTTTGTTGAGTTCGACTGAATTTATCTTTATTGGGACATGCAACAAATTAACGCAGTTTATGGCAACTCTGCACTATCAATCAATCAAAATAGTGAAAAATATTTCTACGTAACTAAATAAATTTTATAGTTTACACTGTACAGCGAATTAATACTTTATCATTTATATTTTTGTGAGCCTTTACAAGATGAATGTCCTTATTTTATTTTGCTTTGGGGCTTTGGGGTATTTTACTTGCATTAACAAAAGCCGCTGTAAACTTGTAACTGCTTACACATGATCTTACTAATCCATCACTCAGGGCCCGTTATATGAAGCATGTATTTAGTTATTATTCGATCATTAATATCATAATTATAATATCATTTGGAACGAATTTGGCAATTCTCTAAAACAATAAAATCCGTTAAAAAATTCTGTTAAAATCTTAATAATACCGAATGCAGCTGCTATATTAGAGTCTAAAAGACGACATGGACCTGCATAGGTAACTTTCTATTATTCATATGCGAAACTTAAAAAAAATCGGTGAATATTTTTGCTGAAATCATCAAAATACCGAATATCGGGAGGTACGGTTATATGGGGCTTTACAACAACGTGGACCTATACATACAATGTTTCGCCACCGGAGCTAGAACCCATTATGACCCACAAATACACATTTTTAGACAAATCTGCGAAAATAATTTGGCAAAAGTCATTAAAATACTGAATATCAGGAGATACCGTTATATGGAGGCTATACCAAAACGTGAACCTACATGGCCCATTTTCAATACCAAACCGTCACCCGAATGTTGTTCTGCGGTATTTTGGCCATTCCGGCGAAGCGCTTGCTTGAGGTGATCGAAGCTTTGGTATTCTGCGAAAATAATTTGGCAAAAGTCATTAAAATACTGAATATCAGGAGATACCGTTATATGGAGGCTATACCAAAACGTGAACCTACATGGCCCATTTTCAATACCAAAAGTCCTGCAGACATAATATACATTTGAGTAACATTTTATCAATCTACTTCAATTCGTTCGGAAGCTAGAGCGATTTCCACAGACGGACAGACGGACTGAAATCGCTTAATCGACATAGAATTTTATCAAGAATATATATACTTTGTGGGGTTTAAAATGTACATCTCGAGGTGTCACAAACGGAATGACAAACTTCATATACTCAAAATGCCGAATATCGGGGGTTTCGTTATATGGGGGCTATACGAAGACGTGGACCTGCGCAGACAATTTTCTGGCATGGCTGTAGAATCCCATACGAACTTCAAATACTAAATTTGAAATAGTTCCGGTAAATAATGTCTCTAAAATCATCAAAATACCGAATATCGGGAGGTACCGTTATATGGGGGCTATACGAAGACGTGGACCTACATGGCTCATCTTCTGTCTTAGGATGAAGTATCCATTACGAACTTCAAATACCAAATTTGAAATAGTTTCGGTAAATAATGTCGCTAAAGTCATCAAAATACCGAATATCGGGAGGTATCGTTATATGGAGGCTATACGAAGACGTAGGCCTATATGGCCCATTTTCTGTCTTAAACCGTAGTGTCTGTTACGAATTTTAAATACCAATTTTGAAACCATTCCGGTAAATAATGTCGCTAAAATCATCAAAATACCGCATATCTGGAGGTACCGTTATATGGTGGCTATACGAAGACGTGGACCTACATGGCCATTTTTCAATACCAAAAGTCTGCAGACATAGTACACATTTAAGTAAAATTTTATCAACCTACTTCATTTCGTTCGGAAGCTAGACTGATTTCCACGGACGGATAGACGGATAGAAAGTACAGAAACATGGGGGTTATGGGAAAACGTGAACCATTATAGGCAATGATCTGCCACGGGAAATAGAAACCATTACAAGATCTAAGTACTGAATTTTAGTCAATTCTGTTAGAAAATATGATCTAAATCGGCAAAAACACCGAATAGCGGGAGGTATAGTTATATGGGGGCTAAAACCTGGACCGACATGGCCTATTTACGAACTTAACCAGCCTACTGGCGAAACACAACATTTTACCTTCGATCTCAATTCTTTCGAAAGAATAGACAGTGAAAAAAACCTGACGCGTGTGTGAACTTTTTAAACCAGTGTTGCCATAAAATATAATACATAAAAAATCACCCTTTAAAATCAACTTCAAATGAAACTTCTAGCGTAAAAACAAAAAAGTGTGGCCATTTCTATATACCAATATTTACTATTTTTCGCACTACCTCATTCCATATGATGTTACATTCTCGCTTCGAGATAAATTTTATTTCTTTTATCATTTTATTTTCATTTCCCTTTCGTATCTTTGAAGCTCTGTGTAGTTCGCTATTTTCATTACATTCTCAAAACTATAGCAGTTGTATGAGAGTAAATAAATCACAATACCCACACGGTTGATCTGCAATTAAAATGTTTGAAAAGCATTTTCACTTTGGTTCCATTAATAGTTCTTTTGGGTTTATTCCATGACAGCATCTAAATTAGTTGTACATCGGAATTCAAAGTGGAAGGTTCGTCCGTCAGCATTCAGCGAAATGACTAACAACAACGTTGAAAGTGAAGATATCAAAAATAAACCCGAATGGTTGAATGAAGAACTATTTCGTGAATTTCTTGAGGAAGATTTTCCCAACTTTCAAAAAATCTCCCAATTTTACATAAAACCCGCCGTGGCTGCTGGGGAAAATTACATGACCGTTCTACTAAGGGTGGAAATTTCTGTGGAAATGTCTAATGGCGACAAAGAAACTGTATCGTATATGGTAAAAATTAAACCCAATGTGGAGAGGCTACAGGTGATGATCAAGGAGTGGCAAATATTCCTCAAAGAGCACACAACCTATACAAGATATATACCCAAATTTGAGTGTTATTACTCTGAGGTCGGTCGCCCACTAAAGATGGCTCCTCGTATCTTGCTGCCCCAACGAAAACATCAGATCACCGATGATCTTCTGATACTGGAAGATTTACGCCTGCGAGGATTTAAGAATTTCAATCGTCACACAGGCTTAGATATGATCCACACCAAAGCTGTATTAACAAAATTGGCTCAGTTCCATGCTGCCTCAGCTCACTATGCTCTCGAAGAGGAAGAATTTCCCGCTATGTATGATCAATGTTTTACAGCTAAAAGGGATTTGTTCCAGGATCATCGTTTGCGAATTGGAAAAATATTTAGAGAGAATTTAAATTTATATGGCGGAGTAGAACATTTGGAAGAGAAGATGGTAAGCAAATAATGACATTCAGTGATGCATAAAAAAATGAATTTTCCAAAAGCGGAAGGAATTATTTTACTGTCTTGGTATAGGAGTGAGAAAATTCGCTGTTATCGGATCTGACTTATTTCATTGGGGAAAAATATGAGTCAAATCGGTGATTTTGTTGAGTCCACTATGTTAGGGGCAACCTCTAAGTGGTCAATTCTATTTGCTAGTAGATTTTGCAGACTACTTATGGAGGTTGAGGGGTTTTCATACAGTCCCTACATATCGGTACAATTCTGAGTTCTGGTGGCCAACCGAAGGTGCACATTTTAAGCTGACCTCTTTGGCAAGTAAATACGATTATTTTGCTGGTTTACAAACTGCTGGACAACGAATGTTCTCTCATCGCAGAAAACCAAACTCCGCAGTTCACCACTTTCGGTCAAGCAAAACAACTCTTTAGCTCTTTTGAGTCTATTTTCTTTCTGTTGCGGTGTAAGTTCTTGCGCTTTAACCCGAGCTCATTTTTCAACATTTGCTAAATGGAATATTGCGATATGTTCAGCTCACGAGCCATTTTTGGCCACTGCGACGCAGGTTTCGATCCTTACTTTTCGAACACATTTTTGCTGATGTTGCTGTTTTCTTCCGTCCACTTCCTTGAGGTCGGGCTACGCTACCAGTATCACGGTAACGAGAGATTGTACGAGACACAAAAGATTTATTCACATTTAAATGCTGGAGTGCTCTAACGATAGCCACTTGTGGTTTTCCAGCCAAATATAAAGAAATCACACTATCTCGCTTGAATGCCATCACGACATTTTTATACCCTCCACCATACTATGGAGGGTATATTAATTTTGTCATTCCGTTTGTAACTCCTCGAAATACTCATGTCAGACCCAACAAAGTATATATATTCTTGATCAGCGTAAAATTCTAAGACGATTTAGCCTTGTCCGTCTGTCTGTCTGTGTGTCTGTCTGTCTGTCCGTCTGTCTGTTGTAATCACGCTATCTATCGAACAAATTGAGATAGATGGCTAAAATTTTGCACACAGGTATATTTTGCCAGTAGACAGGTTAAGTTCGTAAATGGGCCATGTAGGTCCAAGTTATCATATAGCCCCCATATAACGGTACCTCCCGATATTCGGAATTTTGATGATTTTAGCGACATTATTCACCGGAATTGTTTCAAATTTGGTATTTGAAGTTCGTAATGGATACTACAGCCTAAGACAGAAAATTATCTGTGCAGGTCCACGTCTTCGTGTAGCCCCCATATAACGGTACCTCCCGATATTCGGTATTTTGATGATTTTAGCGACATTGTTTACCGGAATCGTTTCAAATTTGGTATTTGAAGTTCGAAATGGATACTACATACTAAGTCAAAAAATGAGCCATGTAGGTCCACGTCTTCATATAGCCCCCATATAACGGTACCCCCCGATATTCGGTATTTTGATGATTTTAGCGACATTATTTAGCGGAATCGTTCCAAATTTGGTATTTGAATTGGTACTGCAGCATAAAACAGAAAATGGGCCATATAGGTCCACGTCTTCGTATAGCCCCCATATACCGTACCCCCGATATTCGGTATTTTGATGATTTTAGCGACATTATTTACCGGGATTGTTTCAAATTTCGCATGTGAAGTTCGTAATGGATACTTCAGCCCATGCCAGAAAATTGTCTGTGCAGGTCCACGTCTTCGTGTAGCCCCCATATAACGGCACCCCCCATATTCGGTATTTTGATGATTTTAGCTACATTATAAACAGATTTTTCTTCAAGTTTCGCATTTAAATATTGTAATAACTTATGACAAAAGTTGCCTATGGCCCACGTCGTCGTATAAGCATTCGGTATTTTTAAGATTTTAACAGAATTTTTAACGGATTTTATTTTTTGGAAATTGTCAAATTTATACCAAATGGTGGAGGGTATTAAAAGTTCGGCTCGGCCGAACTTACAGCTTTTTTACTTATTTTTGTTTAAAATTCTCACCAAAATGCTTTTGTACGCTTAATATAATGAGTTATCACTGGAATAATTTTAACAGCTGTCGGACGAGGGACTTAGAAATGACAGCAGTCTGAAATTGTTTGCAGTTTTTTCATCTCACCCTGTATTTCCGAACCTACCTCCGAATCGTAACCTCACATTTCCGAAGTTTATATCTATCCCTTCACCCAATACCAAATGTAGTAAAATTCAGTACATTTCATACAATTATGGTACAAATTTCCTAAACCACCTTGTTATGTCCAGGCTACACATGACCAGCGACCCTAATACCAAATTTCAGATTTGAAGCTCACCCAATGCCAAATTGTACCAAATATAGCACTATTTAGTACCTTTCCTTCGCTTGTTGTACACATTTCCAAAGCCAACCCTTTATAAAAAACCTACCACCAGCATAGACCCCAAAACATTCCAGCTGTATCCGTTTACCTTTAACCAAACTGTTCCAAATTTAGCACCATTTAAAATCACCTTCATATATCAAATTTACTTTTCAACCCTGGTTCTCATAAGAAATTTCAAGTTTTTAGCTCTAACCGTTCACATAATATCAAATGGTACCATTTTAGAAGTTTAGTGCCATTTTTATATCCTACAACACTATGTTTTGGGGGTATTATAAGTTTGATTGGGCCAAAAATTATATAACACCTCGAAATATTGGTTTCTCACATAGGAAAATATATATGGATCTTCCTATCTCGCCGAGTTGAGTCGATCAAGCGATGTATGTCCGTCCGTCTGCCGTCTGTCCATGTTAATTTGTAATCACTCTTCAGTTCGCAATTATGGCCCGATCCTCACGAAATTTAGAATGGAGGTGGGGCTAGGTCCAGAATAGAACCCTATTGCTTTTGGAGATTATCGCATATTTAGGGGTTGAAATGGACCAAAAACTGAAAAATTTCATGATTTTGCAGCTGCTCTACAGGTCGCAATTATAGACCAATCGCAGCGGAAGTTAGCATGGGGCTAGAGCTTAGGGCTGGGCAGAAGCCTTCCAATTTTGATCATCGGGTAATTTAGTGAGTGAAATAGACCATAACATTTGTCTTATATAAAAGTCCAATTTTCTATAAACCGCGAATATTTTTAATCCCTGCGAAATCACAAATAGACGAACAGTTCAACTCTGACCGTTATGTAGATGCCGATAGTAATTATAGCGGATGTATATAGCGAAATATATACAATACAAAAGGAAGGGGATATTAGCTAGAATGCTTATATCTGAAGAATGGCTAGACGGATTTCGACAAATTTTGTCAATTCAGAATGCCCTCTTAACATAAAAGTATAAAATCTAAAAAAATTGCATAAAAAAGATGCCTATAATGAGATTTATATATAGGTTTTGTAGTATTTTGTGATTTGTTTTATTTTTTCATATTTTTAATCGCATGCGATTTTTTCAATTTGACTTATAATATTGAATTGTACAATTGCAATTATCCTCACGAAAAGAGTAGGGTTAGTCTCAAAATGGCTAGGCCTATTGTTTTCAAAGATGTCCACAATTTATTTAGGGGTTGAAATGGACCAACAACTAAAAATGTTCCTGATTTTGCACCCGTTATAAAGTTAACAAATTGAATCATAAGGGAATCTCGCATGAATTTAGAGTTTAGGACAGCGGGTAGAATGGACCACTACTTTTGTGTGTAAAAATACCAAAGGTGAACTTCTGGCTTTTTTATGCTGATTTCGTTGATGAATAAAGCCAAATATCGTAGACAAACAAATCATATAGATGAGCCGACTATAGCCTTTGCTTACTTGTTACAGTTGTCGTTATCTTCAAGTTCGAATTTCCAAAACCCTCTGGTACATCTGTCCTGCATCAGTGACTCTTATTCCAAATTTCTCACTCCTTTTGTACAATACAGAGTATTCAATTTCTAGTACAATCTTCTGATTGGTTTTCGATCACACCATTAACTCATCCAATGTCACAAACATTAATTGTTGTCTGACAAAGTGTATGTGCATAGGTATTCTGATGCTTCAGTTTTTTCCCGCCAATTATCAACTGACTTGGCATTGTTTCGATGCTTTGTTTCTTGTTTCTGCTCCATACCACTGTAGAGGACATATCAAATCAAAAATCGGCAAATACCCGCTAGATGGAGATCAAATCAAAATGTGGACCGATACTGAGAAATTTAAGTGGTAGATATTTCAATTCCATTTTTGTGCAAAACAATTCCGTTATCCGATTAACTTTAAACTGTTAATGACTTCAAACGCATAGGCAACATTAAATCGCTTTGTCAAAGTGATTACTCATCGTCATGATCTACTTGACGTTTATTCCATTCAAGCAAATTACGTCAAATACATTACGATAGAGCAGTTTGTCGTGATGATGAAGGTGGTTAAATCTTTGCTATAGTTTTTCACAATATAACTGCTATGAATAAATACGGACCAAAATAATTAGCAAATAATATAAATTAAGAGGTGTTTGCGGAAACAATTGCTCAAATAATATTTTAACATGCATACATACAAGGCGAGATAAAATAATGCAACAAAGTCAAACGCCATAATTTTTAATTTTTTTTTATTAAATTTTATTGAATGAAAGCAAAAAATTTCGGAAATAGCATCAAATTTTAGAATAAGTTTAGATTTGATCGAATTAGTCACCTTTGGCACGAATAATGGCCTTCAAACGGCGAATGAAACCGTTACACGCTGCCCGAATGTTGCTCTGCGGTATATTGGCCCATTCTCGGCCAAGCGCTTGTTTGAGGTGATCGACAATTGCTTTCCAAAATACTCCAGACACAATAGGCCAACGGATTGGTATCCGGAGATTTTGGTGGCCATTGTGCGCTGGAAATGAAGAGAAGAACCTCATTTTGTAACCATTCTTAAGTGGCGCATGCTGAGCCCTGTTGGTATGTCCAAGGTCTGCGGCCAAAATTTTTACATGTCCAAGGCATTAATACACCCTCCAGAATATTTTCGCGATAATATTCGGCATTTATTCTGATGAAACGGTCGAATAATACGAGCGGAGAGCGACCATCGGCTGTTATGGCGACCCACACCGTCACCATGGCCGGCGCTTCCGTGGCCAATCAAAGGTGCACATTTTCAGCTGACCTCTTTGTTTACAAACTGCTGGACAACGAATGTTTGCTCATCGGAGAAAACCAAATTCGGCAGTTCACCACTTTCGGCCACGCGAAGCAACTCTTTAGCTCTTTTGAGTCTATTTTCTTTCTGTTGCGGTGTCAGTTCTTGCACTTTTTGGAATTTCAATGGCTTTATCCCGAGCTCATTTTTCAATATTTGCCGAATGGAATATTGATATATGTTCAGCTTACGAGCCATTTTTCGGCCACTTTTCCGACCATTTCTGCTGTTGCTGTTGTTTTCTTCCGTCCATTTCCTTGACGTCGGGCTACGCTATCAGTATCACGGTAAGGAGCGATGGTACGAAACACAAAAGATTTATTCACATTTAAATGCTCGAGTGCTCTAACGATAGCCACTTGCGGTTTTCCAGACAAAAATAAAGAAATCACACTATCAACGCTTGAATTCTATCAGGAATAACCTTATTTCTGGAAAATTCTCACCAAAATGCTTTTGTACGCTTGTAAACAATATAATGAGCTGTCACTGGAATAATTTGAACAGTTGTCGGAAATGACAGCAGTCTGAATTTGGTTGCAGTGTTTTCATCTCACCCTGTATGGAGACGTTGAGGCAAAAATTGGATGTGGATCCAATTTGCAATGGTTTTACTAATAGCCTTCTGGGTGATCTTCAAAATCACAAATTTTGAAGATATTTTGGTGTTATTATTTTTATCGAAAAAAATAAACTTGAATAATATATAAATCCATGGAAATCATTCTATTTTCTCTTCATAATTTCAGAGAATTTTCGCCGAGACAAAAAGTGATCCATTCCAAATGAAATCCGAACGTGACCCGGAAGAATTTAATGTTCTAAATCATGGAGATTTATGGGTCAATAACATCATGTTCCAGTACAATGACGATGGTACGCTAAAGGAGACATATTTCATTGATTTTCAAATGGGTCGTTATGGACCACCTGCTCAGGATTTGATATATTTCATATTGTCATCCACAAGTGTTGACATTAAATTGCAATATTTTGACTATTTCATAACCTACTATCATCAAAAGCTGATTGAAAATTTGGAATTGCTCAAGTACAAAGGAAAGTTGCCCAAATTAAAGGATCTACAAATGTCTCTGTTTAAGCATGACTATTGGGGTAAGTTGAAGTTTTCAATGGATAACTTTTTATACCCTACAACACTATGTGTTGGGGGTATTATAAGTTTGATTGGGCCAAAAATTTTGTAACGCCGCGAAATATTGGTTTCCCACATAGGAAAGTATATATGGATCTTCCTAGCTCGCCGAGCTGAGTCGATCTAGCTATGTATGTCCGTCCGTCCGTCTGTCCGTCTGTCCGTCTGTCCATGTTAATTTGTAATCACTCTACAGGTCGCAATTATGGCCCGATCTTCACGAAATTTAGAATGGAGGTGGGGTTAATGTCAGAATAGAACCCTATTTCTTTCGGAGATGATCGCCAAATGTTTAGGGGTTGAAATGGACCAAATACTGAAAAAATGTCGGATTTTGCAATAGCTATACAGGTCGCAATTATAGACCAATCGACGCGGAATTTCGCATGTAGCTAGAGTTTAGGGCGGGGAAGAAGCCTACCAATTTGGGTGGTCTTCGGATAATATTTAACGGCTAAAATAGACCATATCTTTTTTGTTGAAAAAATTCAAATTTTTTCATTAAACCGCGAATATTTTAAATCCCGGCGAAATCACAAAGCCATGACAAGGTTACTTCTGATCTTTACATTGATGTTAAGATCCAACAAATCGAATATATTGCAAAATATGTGCGATATATATGTCTATCAAAGAAGATATGTTTGAAAGATCTATTTTATGTCGAGAACTGCTGAACTGATTTCGACAGTTCTCATTAATTCAGAATGGCCTCTTGGCAGAAAAGAAAAAACACCTAAAAATCGAATAAAAATGTCTCTCTAAAGATGAAAATATTGATTTTGTAAATTTTCTCATATTTTTTTCAATTTTGTCATATTTTTGGCATATTTTCATTTTGAATTAAACATTTGGTAATATTTCTACAGCTAACAAAACTAAGTAGTTAGGATATCAGGATATCATATACAGATCGCATTTATATCCCGATCCTTACGAAATTTTGCATGGAGATAAGATGAGGGTCAGAATAGAAGCCTACTCTTTTTGGAGATGATCGCCGTATATTTAGGGGTTGAAATGGACCAAAAACTGCAAAATTGTCAGCAGGTCGTAATTATCGCCCGGTCCTCAAGCACATTTGAATGGGGGTTACCGGACATTGCAAAAGCCAAGCAGTTTTGGATGGCCATCCAAAAATATTCAATGTGTGAAGGAGTTTGTAAACTTTTATAGACAAAATACGAAAATGTCCATTCCAATGACTTTTTGGAGAATTCACAAATACAGGAAAGACACACTTCTGACTATTTCGTTAACGCTGATTTCGTTGAAGAATATAGTCAAATGGCTGTATCTCATATAGATGTGTTTCAGTCAAAAACCAATAATAAATGTTAATCTTTTGCCACTTCTGAGAGATTATGGGTCTTTGGAAAATATTGGTTCCAGATCTAGGAAGACCATTTACGTGCAACATCTACCAATAAATTGGAAATGAGCAAATTAGTTAAAGTTCGAGTATCTCGCCTATGAAAACTGTATCGTTTATTGCAGTGTTGTAGGGTATTCAATGGTCGGCCCCGCTCGACTGTAGCCTTTGCTTACTTGTTTTGAATATGGATACTTAAGCTTTGTTCTTTGAGGACTATTTAAATTTTTTCTTTATTTATTTTAGCCTATACCACAATTAGTACCTTAATGCCGATAATTCTTTGTGAAGCTCGAGATGATGCCAACGTTGATAATTTACTTGGCGAGAGTGGGGACGAATTCAGGCGTGCTATGTATCGTGGTCCCAATTTTGTCAAATCAATGGAAGTTTTATTGCCTTGGCTCGATAATCGTGGAGCCTTTGATTTATGATGTTCCTATTGCATATTAATATGTACTTATTCATTTATGTAGTTGCATGTGTAGAATATGAAATTAATTAGAATATTCGAATAAAGAAACATTTAAACATTTATATTAGAACAATTCAGATCATTTTTATGCCCTACACCACATAGTCGTAAAGATATTATGTCATTGTGCATTTGTTTGTAAAATGGAGAAGGAAGCGAGATAGACCCATAGTTACTTCCTAGGATCTTCATAGAATCACTTTCTGAGTTGATTTATGCATGTCAGTCCGTCTGTCCGTCCGTCTGTCTGTCCATGTATTTTTGTGAAAAAATGCGACCGCATTTATTTTCCGATTAAGATGAAATTTTCCAAACAATATTTGTTTGGCCACAGGATGAACCCTATTGAAATTGGAGAGAACCGGATAAAATTAGGATATAGCTCCCATATACATGGTGAGATGATATAACTGCAACAAACTTCAGACTGCTATCATTTCTAAGCCACTCGTCCGACAGCTGTTAAAATTATTCCAGTGACAGCTCATTATATTGTTTACATGCGTTCAAAAACATTTTGGTGAGAATTTTCCAAAAAAAAAAAAAAAAATTATTCGTGATGGAATTCAGGCGTGATAGATCTTTATATTTTGCTGGAAAACCACAAGTGGATTTCGTTAGAGCCCGCCAGCATTTAAACTTGAATAAATCTTTTGTGTCTCGTACCATCGCTCGTTACCGTGACACTGGTAGCGTAGATCGACGTCAAAGAAGTGGACGGAGGAAAACAGCAACATCATTCGAAATGGTTCGAAATATAAAGAAGCGAGTTGATCGAAACCCGCGTCGCAGTGGCCGAAAAATTGCTCGTGAACTGAACATATCGCAATATTCCATTCGGCAAATATTGAAAAATGAACTTGGGGTAGAGTTATTGAAATTTCAAAAAGTGCAAGAACATACACCGCTACAGAAAGAAAATAGACTTAAAAGACCTAAAGAGTTGTTTCGCTTGGCCGAAAGTGATGAACTGCAGAATTTGGGTTTCCTCCGATGAGCAAACATTCATTGTCCAGCAGTTTGTAAACAAACAAAATGATGATGTGGACTGCCATAACAGACAATGGTCGACCGTTGCACCAGAATAAATGCCGAATATTATCTCGGTTCCATTGGCCGTTTGAAGGCCATAATTCGTGCCAAAGATGACCAATTCGAACAAATCTAAACTTATTCTAAAATTTGATGCTACTTCCGACATTTTTTGTTTTCTTTCAATAACGTTTAAAAAGAAATGTAAAAATTGTGGCGTTTGATTTTGTTGCAGTATTTTATCTCACCCTATAGTGCATACAGAAATGTTATTGGTACTACAGGTGCAAAAGCCTCCATCAAATTTATTGAAAATCGATTCAACGTTGTTGTTCCAAAATTGTAAATGCTCTAAAGACATAATTCGCATTTAAATAAAGTTCATGGTTGGTATGATCTACTTCACATAAATTCCCGCTATAAACATTTTTGCTATATGAGCTCTACTAAATACGCTTAGTGGTGTAGAGTATAGTCGGGCCCGCCAGTCTTTTGGCCTTTCTTTACTGGTTATACATATTTTACTTATAGGATGTCGAATTATATCGTAGATATATAATTAATTAATTTTTCTTTTTTTGTGTTTTGTACAAATAATCATATTTTTCTCCTTATCTATATCAAAATATTCATATCCTCCATCATTAAAAAAGCAAGGTTTTTTAATAATTGAAATGAGCAAATTGGAAAAAAACAAGTAAAAAAACATTAAATTCGGCCGGGCCAAACTTTTAATACCCTCCACCCTAGGGTAAAAGAACATTAGAAGAAATGTGGCAAAAAACATTAAAATGCCGAATATCGGGAGGTACCGTTATATAGGGGCTACACCAACACGTGCACCTATAATTACAATGTTTCGCCACACGAACTAGGACCCATTATAACCCACAAATACCAACTTTTACACAAATCAGTGAAAAAATGTGGCATAAATCATCAAAATACCGAATATCGGGAGGTACCGTTATATGGGGACTATACCAGAACGTGGACCTATACATGCAATGTTTTGCCACACGCTCAGGGACCCGTTGTGACCTACAAATACCAATTTTCAGACAAATCCATGAAAAAATGTGGCATAAATCATCAAAATACCGAATATCGGTAGGTACCGTTATATGGGGGCTATACCAAAACGTGGACCTATACATGCAATGTTTTGCCACACGCTCAGGGACCCGTCATGACCTACAAATACCAATTTTCAGATAAATCCGTGAAAAAATGTGGCATAAATCATCAAAATACCGAATATCGGGAGGTACCGTTATATGGGGACTATACCAGAACGTGGACCGATATATCTCATTTTCAATACCAACCATCCTAGAGACAATACACACACTTGTGCCAAATTTCAAAGGTCTACGTCAAATAATGTGGGCTCTATCGTGATTTCAACAGACAGACAGACGGACAGACAGACAGACGGACATCGCTAAATCGTCTTAGAATTTTATGCTGATTATGAATATATATACTTTATGGGGTCTACGACGAATATTTAGAGGTGTTGCAAACGGAATGACAAAGTTAATATACCCTCCTACCCATGGTGGAGGGTATAATGATTATAATCTTCTTAAATAGTGATCTTCATGTTTAACACCGTTTCAATTTTGGGTTTGCTTAACATTTATCCCCCAAAAAAAAATAATTAATACGAAATGAAGTATTTTTATGACATAACAAATATGAAAATACACATTAGCTTTTGTATACAACTTATTTGACATAGTATATCTTATTGCATACACAGAGCACAGACAGGTGTTCTCAAATTATAATTGAAAGCATTGCGATGTTAAGAACAACAAAAAAACAAATTTATTAAATTATAAAATTTTATTCCTATTCCAGACATATACTTTTGTTTGCGATGACTGCAAATTATAATTATTCCAAGATCGTTTTATACAACGAATGGATGGTGCATTGACCATAGATTAAGAAAAATGCTTAAAATTGTCAAACATCCTGTCATAAAAGGCAAACACATTTATGGTAGTCATGCCATGTAGACTATCTCCAGTGTTTTTTTTTTTTAATTGAAGACACACATTTTCAAAAATTGCCATGCATTGGAACAAGCTATTTTTAACCAGGCTCCGACCAGGACCGAATTATTTTACGACTCGACTCCGTAAAATTTTTCAGATTAAGGGATCTCTAATATAGATTAGTTTAAAAGTTGTCCTCTTTTCTTTTTAACCAGGCTCCGACCAGGACCGAATTATTTTACGACTCTACTCCGTAAAATTTTTCAGATTAAGAGATCTCTAAAATAGATTAGTTTAAAAATTGTCCTCTTTTCTTCGTAAATCCGGCCTATGGACGCACCGCATTAAAATTGGTGTTAGTTATTTGTGATCTCACCTTTGTTGCATCCAAATGCTTAATACATGCCCAGATTAGATAGATTTTTTATACCCTCCACCAAAAAAAGTATGGAGGGTATCAGCGTAAAATCCTAAGACGATTTAGCCCTGTCCGTCCGTCCGTCCGTCTGTTGTAATCACGCTACAGTCTAAACGAATTAAGATAGGAAGCTAAAATTTTGCACAGATCTCTCTTTTGTCTGCAGGTCAAGTTCGAAGATAGGCTATATCGGTCCACGATATACGACCCCCATATAACGGTACCCCCGATATTCGGTATTTTAATGATTTTAGCCACATTTTTCAATGGAATTGTCTGAAATTCCACAAAAGGAGTCCCTTGTTGGCATTTTACCCCCTCAAAAAGAATTGTCTATATAGGTCCACGAAATCGTATATCCCCCGATATTCGGTATTTTGATGATGTTAGCCACATTTTTAAATGGAATTGTCTTAAAATCCACACAAATAGTTCCTTGTGAGTACTTTACTCCCTGAGAGAGAATTGTCTATACAGGTCCCGATATCGTATATCCCCCATATAACTGTACCCCGCGATATTCGGTATTTTGATGATTTTACCCACATTTTTCAACGGAATTGTCTGAAAATCCACACAAGGAGTTCCTTGTGGGTACATTATACCTCGGTAGAGAATTATCTACATAGGTCCACGATATCGTATAGCCCCCATATAACGGTACCCCCGATACTTGTTATTTTGATGATTTTATCCACATTTTTCAATGGAATTGTCTGCAATTCCACAACAGGAGTCCCTTGTTGGCAATTTACCCCCTCAAAAAGAATTGTCTATATAGGTCCACGATATCGTCATATAACAGTACCCCGAATATTCGGTATTTTGATGATTTGAGCCACATTTTCCAATCGTATTTTCTGAAAATCCACACACGGAGTTCTTTGTGAGCACTTTACCCCTGAAACGGAATTGTCTATTTAGGTCCACAATATCGTATATCCCCAAATATAACGGTACCTCCTTATATTCGGTATTTTGATGATTTTAGCCACTTTTTCCATTGGAATTATCTGAAAATCCACACAAGGAGTTCCTTGTGAGTACTTTACACGCCGACATAGATTTGTCTCTATGGGTCCACAATATCGTATTTCCCCCCCACCATATATCGGCACCTTTCTATATTAGATATTTTAAAGATTTTAAAAGAATTTTTAATGGATTTTGTTTCTTTGAAAAATTTTTAATTCGTTCCAAGTGGTAGAGGGTATTCAAAGTTCGGCCCGGCCGAACTTACTGCTTTTTATACCCTACAACACTATGTGTTGGGGGTATTTTAAGTTTGATTGGGCCAAAAATTATGTAACACCTCGAAATATTGGTTTCCCACATAGGAAAGTATATATGGATCTTCCTAGCTCGCCGAGCTGAGTCGATCTAGCTATGTATGTCCGTCCGTCCGTCTGTCCGTCTGTCCGTCTGTCCGTCTGTCCATGTTAATTTGTAATCACTCTACAGGTCGCAATTATGGCCCGATCTTCACGAAATTTAGAATGGAGGTGGGGTTAATGTCAGAATAGAACCCTATTTCTTTCGGAGATGATCGCCAAATGTTTAGGGGTTGAAATGGACCAAATACTGAAAAAATGTCGGATTTTGCAATAGCTATACAGGTCGCAATTATAGACCAATCGACGCGGAATTTCGCATGTAGCTAGAGTTTAGGGCGGGGAAGAAGCCTACCAATTTGGGTGGTCTTCGGATAATATTTAGCGGCTAAAATAGACCATATCTTTTTTGTTGAAAAAATTCAAATTTTTTCATTAAACCGCGAATATTTTAAATCCCGGCGAAATCACAAAGCCATGACAAGGTTACTTCTGATCTTTACATTGATGTTAAGATCCAACAAATCGAATATATAGCAAAATATGTGCGATATATATGTCTATCAAAGAAGATATGTTTGAAAGATCTATTTTATGTCGAGAACTGCTGAACTGATTTCGACAGTTCTCATTAATTCAGAATGGCCTCTTGGCAGAAAAGAAAAAACACCTAAAAATCGAATAAAAATGTCTCTCTAAAGATGAAAATATTGATTTTGTAAATTTTCTCATATTTTTTTCAATTTTGTCATATTTTTGGCATATTTTCATTTTGAATTAAACATTTGGTAATATTTCTACAGCTAACAAAACTAAGTAGTTAGGATATCAGGATATCATATACAGATCGCATTTATGGCCCGATCCTTACGAAATTTTGCATGGAGATAAGATGAGGGTCAGAATAGAAGCCTACTCTTTCTGGAGATGATCGCCGTATATTTAGGGGTTGAAATGGACCAAAAACTGCAAAATTGTCAGCAGGTCGTAATTATCGCCCGGTCCTCACGCACATTTGAATGGGGGTTACCGGACATTGCAAAAGCCAAGCAGTTTTGGATGGCCATCCAAAAATATTCAATGTGTGAAGGAGTTTGTAAACTTTTATAGACAAAATACGAAAATGTCCATTCCAATGACTTTTTGGAGAATTCACAAATACAGGAAAGACACACTTCTGACTATTTCGTTAACGCTGATTTCGTTGAAGAATATAGTCAAATGGCTGTATCTCATATAGATGTGTTTCAGTCAAAAACCAATAATAAATGTTAATCTTTTGCCACTTCTGAGAGATTATGGGTCTTTGGAAAATATTGGTTCCAGATCTAGGAAGACCATTTACGTGCAACATCTACCAATAAATTGGAAATGAGCAAATTAGTTAAAGTTCGAGTATCTCGCCTATGAAAACTGTATCGTTTATTGCAGTGTTGTAGGGTATTCAATGGTCGGCCCCGCTCGACTGTAGCCTTTGCTTACTTGTTAACTTTACTTTACTTGAAGAAGAAGTAAAGATGTAGCTTTAGCTAAATGGACTCATTTGTTATATGATTACCGGTATATGAAATTTGAACATTTTTATATCCTCCACCATAGTATGGAGGGTATATTAAGTTTGTCATTCCGTTTGTAACACCTCGAAATATACCTTATACATTTGGACCCCACAAAGTATATACATATTCTTGAGCAGCATAAAATTTTATGTCGATTTATCAATGTCCGTCCGTCTATCCGTCGGTCCATCTGTCCTTCTGTGAAAATCATTGTAGAAAAAAATTTACTCAAATGTGTATTATGTCTGCAGTTATTGAAAATGGGCCATGTAGGTCCATGTCTTCGTATAGCCCCATATAACCTCCTCCCGATATGCGGTATTTTGATGATTTTAGCGACATTATTTACCGGAATTATTTCAAATTTTGTGTTTGAAGTTCGTAATGGATACTACAGCCTATGCCAGAAAATTATCTGTACAGGGCCAAGTTTTGTACCTCTCTTTATTCGGTATTTTATTTATTTTAGCTACATTATAAACAGATTTTTTTCAAGTTTCGCATTTGAATATTGTAATAGTTTATGACTAAAGTTGGCTATGCAGGCCCAGGTCGTTGTATAGACCCTATTATACGGCTACATTCGGTATTTTTAAGATTTTAACATAATTTTTAACGGATATTATTTTGTTTTGAAAATTGTTAAATTTGTACAAAATGGTGGAGGGTATTCAAAATTCGGCCTGGCCGACTTTTGAAATGTACAATAGTAATGTTTTATTTTGCATGATTTTTTTTCCATTTTGACTTGCTTTTTATACCCTCCACCATAATATGGAGGGTATATAGTGTTTGTCATTCCATTTGTAGCACCTCGAAATATACATTTTAGACCCCACAAATTATATATATTCTTGATCAGCATAAAATTCTATGTCGATTTAGCGATGTCTGTCCGTCTGTGGAAATCACTTTAGCTTCCGAACGATTTAAAGAAGATTGATAAAATTTTACTCAAATGTATATTATGTCTGCAGGACTTTTGGTATTGAAAATATGCCATGTAGGTCCACGTTTTGGTATAGCACCCATATAACGGTACCTCCCGATATTCGGTATTTTGATGATTTTTACGACAATATTCATGGGAATTGTTTCAAATTTGGTATTTGAAGTTCGAAATGGATGCTACAACCTAAGACAGTAAGTAGTCTGTACAGGTCCACGTCTTCGTAGAGCCCTCATATAACGGTACCTCCTGATATTCGGTATTTTAATGATTTAGAAATTACTATGGAGCCATTACTTATAATAAAAATTATGCCGCTTACATAAATCAGATCTGTGATTTTTATGCTTTAAAAAATATGCATTACAGCCTAAAAGTACAGGCCGGAAAATATATTGAAGCAAAAGACAATCAAATTTTTTATAGTTATTTTAAAAACGAACTTAGTCGCTTTTGTATTTTAGCCACTCAATGTCGCACGCAATAACAAACAATGTTTGAAAATATTCTCTCAAAAATATCAACACTTAGTATCTGATCAAACGTTCTACGTAAACGTACGACGCGGACAACGCAGCCGAAGAGTCGATTAACAATTCTAAATATCAAAACACAAACTGAATTAACAACAACAGCAACATCACAATGGTTCAAAATTCAAATGGTGATCTACAGAATGAAGAAATAAAAACCAATGGCAACAACAATCAAAATAACAATAACGACGATTTTGCAGATAAGCCAGAATGGTTAACACAAGAATTATTTTGTAAATTTTTGAAAAAAGATTTTCCAAATTTTCAAAAAATTACCAAATTTAATGTAAAACGTGCAGTGGCAGCTGGTGAAAATTTTATGACAACTCTGTTGAGAATCCACCTTGAAGTTGAAATGCCCGATGCCAGCCTCAAATCAATTTCATATATGGTGAAAATTAAACCCAACACCCAGCAGTTACAGAACATGATTGAAGAATGGCAAATATTTGAAAAAGAACAGGCCACCTATTCGAAATATATTCCGAAATTTGAAGAGCTCTACTCGCAAGCGGGAAAAGACATACAATTTGCCCCCAAATTACTACAATTGGATAATGATGAGCACAATGGCCATCTGCTTATTTTGGAAGATTTACGTTTGCGCCAGTTTAAAAATGCAACCCGACAATTGGGTCTTGATATGGAACACACCAAAGCGGTGTTGGAAAAAGCCGCTCAGTTTCATGCTGCATCTGCTCGTTATGTGGAGGTCATGGAAGACTATCCCGCAATGTATGATCAGTGTTTGGTAGCCGATAAAGATCTTTTCGAAGAACATCGCCTAAATGCTGGAAAACTGTTTAGAGATAATCTGCATTTGTATGGAGATTTGGAATATTTAAGGGAGAGATTGGTAAGTGAATAGACAAAAATGAATTAAATCCAAGAAATTTTTAAACTAAGATCAAAGATTAAAACATATAAATGAACAAATAGGATATACTTTTCAACATTAAGAGCAGTTCTCATAGAAAAGTTCCGAAAGATTGTGGACATATTGAACTCATCTTTTTGATTTTTAGAAGATTCCAGCCGTTATATGTAACTGAAGAACCTGTAATTAATAGTTCGAATCCACGACAAGTAGAATTTCTTCTTAAAAAAATCATAAATAAATAATAAATATTTATAGGGACACAGATTCACAGCTTCTGAAATTTGACGAGTGTCTAATTTGGACCAAATCTTAAACTTCTTTTCAAATTAGATAAAGTTCGAAGAAAAGTAATATCAACCTCTCCTTGAAACAAGTAAGACAAGTAAAGAAAGGTAAAAAGTCGAGCGGGTCTGACTATAAGTTCAATCGGGCCGAACTTTTAACAATCGCCACCTTTTTGAAGGATCTTGAATAATTTCAAAAAAATCCATATAAAAATACCACTTAGATGAAACCCGTTATATAGGGGATATATGAAGACGTGGACTTGCATAAGTAATTGTTGTCATAGACTGTAGTATCGATTCCGAACTTCAAATACGAGATTTGAAACAATTCCGTTAAATATATGGAGGGTATATTAAGTTTGCCATTCCGTTTGTAACACCTCGAAATACACATTTTAGTCCCCACAAAGTATATATATTCTTGATCAGCATAAAATTCTATGTCTATTTAACGATGTCTGTTCGTCTGTGAAATTCACTCTAGCTTCCGAACGAATTGAAGTAGATTGATAAAATTTTACTCAAATGTATGTTATGTCGCAGGACTTTTGGTATTGAAAATGGGCCATGTATGCCCACGTTTTAGTAAAGTGCCCATAAAACGGTACGTCCTGAAATTCGGTATTTTGATGATTTTAGCGACATTATTCACCGGAATTGTTTCAAATTTGGTACTTGATGTTCGTAATGGATGCTACAACCTATGACAGGAGATTGTCCTTGCAAGGTCACGTCTTCGTATAGCTCCCACATAACGGTACCTCCCGATATTCGGTATTTTGATGATTTTAGCGACACTATTCATTTGAATATTGCAATGGCTTATGAAAATTATACCAATTCAGGTCCATTTCGTCGACCCTAATATAACAGCTACATTCGGTATTTTTAAGATGTTAACAGAATTTTTAACGCCCCGGCAGAACTTACAGCTTTACTACTTGTTATTATTTTCAATTCCTTAAATCGATTAAATTGATTTTTTAATTAGTTTTTTCTTCCTTTGCGTTACAGAAAACATGTGTCGAAACTCAATCGGATCCGTATCAAATGAAATCAGAACGTAATCCCGCTGAATTTACTGTACTAAATCATGGTGATTTATGGGTGAACAACATCATGTTCCAATACAATGAGGATGGATCGTTGAAGGAAACCTATTTCATTGATTTTCAATTGGGTCGCTATGGTTCTCCGGCACAGGATCTGCAATATTTTCTATTTTCTTCAACAAATATAGAAATTAAGCTAAAACATTTTGATTATTTCATTGCTTATTATCACGAGAAATTAGTTGAAAGCCTGAAGCTGCTCAAGTTCGAGGGGAAAATACCAAGCTTGAGAGACATACACACAGCCTTGTACAAGCATGATTATTGGGGTAAGACTCTTTTACAAAACATTGAATTTTATTTGTAATTGTTTGATGATTTTTATTTTTTTTTTTTTTTTTTGTTACTTAGCTTATACCATTGCCACAAATTTGATGCCGGTAATACTCTGCGAGTCACGTGAGGATGCCAACATCGACAATGTCATAGGTGGAGAAGAAGGCAACGAATTCCGCCAGGCCATGTACACAAACAAAAGATTAGCAGAAAGTATGAAGTTTTTACTGCCATGGATGGATAATCGTGGTGCCTTTGAAGTATAATTTATAAATAAAACAAAACCTTATTTAAATTAATTTTAATTGCAGTATAATCATATTTTCAATATTTTATTATGTGATCATCACTCTAAATAATAACAATGATTAATTATTTAAATAACGTTATTGGATCATAAAAACAAAAACATTTTGGGAGCTTTAAAATAATTGGCGATTTACTAAAAGCTATCGGAAAGCTTAAAAAAAACAAGTAAAAAGCTGTAAGTTGGAACGGCCCGAACTTTGAATACCCTCCACCATTTCGAACGAATTAGGCAATTCTCAAACACAAATTCGTTGAAAATTCTGTTAACATCTTAGAAATACAGAATGTAGCTGCTACACTAGGGTCTATACGACAACAAGGACCAGCATAGGTAACTTTTGTCATAAGCCATTACAATATTAAAATGCTAAACTTAAAAAATAGGTGAATAATGTAGCTAAAATCATCAAAATACCGAATATCGGGAGGTACCATTATATGGGGGCTATAGGAAGTCGTGGACCTGCACAGACAATTTTCTGTCAGAGGCTGTAGTATTCATTACGAACTTCAAATACTAAATTTGAAATAGTTCCGGTAAATAATGTTGTTAAAATCATCATTATTGTTAAAATCATCATTAAAAAATACCGAATATCGGGAGGTACCATTATGTGGGGACTATAGGATGTCATGGACCTGCACAGACAATTTTCTGTCTTAGGCTGTAGTATTTATTGTGAACTTCAAATACCAAATTTGAAACAATTCCGGTAAATAAATTCGGTAAAATCATCAAAATACCGAATATCGGGAGGTACCGTTATGTAGGGGCTATACGAAGACATGGACCTGCACAGACAATTTTCTGTCTTAGGCTGCAGTATTCATTGTGAACTTCAAATACCACATTTGAAACAATTCCATTGAATAATGTCGCTAAATTAATCAAAATACCGGATATCGGGAGGTACCGTTCCACAGACGTATAGACGGACGGACATCGCTAAATCGACAAAGAATTTTATGCTGATCAAGAATACATATACTTTGTGGGGTCTAAAATGTGTTTTTCGAGGTGTTACAAACGGAATGACAAACTTAATATATCCTCCATACTATGGTGGAGGGTATAAAAAACATAAAATTCGGAAATACCGTCCATATAGTTTAATGTTTGAAAATTATTTCATGCAAATGTTGACCGCGATTGAGCCTCAAATGGTCATTCCGATTAATCCCCTTTAGGCATAGTTATTCCCCACATGCCGTCTTCAAATGCGTCAATTGACCAGCTTCACCAAAAATAGTTTAAAGGCGTTAAGTCACACGATCTAGGCGATCAATTTGCGGATCTCAAACGTGAAATAAAATGTTCACCGAACTCTTTTTCTCCTCTCTTTTCTGGGGGAGGTACTTGAAGGAGTGGTCTTATATTGTCCATCTCCGAACTCCATCTATGTTTGACAATAATATTACGATGTTTGGACGGACGGACATCGCTCGATCGACTTCAAATGTCCTGAAATGAATTTGGTCCAAAGAGATCTAGGATTTAAGACCGTTATTTCGATGAGGCACGTTTTGGCCGTATCAAATGATATACAGGGCGAAATGAAAAAATTTCAACCAACTTCAGACTGCTGTCATTTCTAAGCCACTCGTCCGACAACTGTTAAAATTATTCCAGCGACAGCTCATTATATTGTTTACAGCTTTTGGTTAGAATTTTCCAGAAAAAAAGTTTTTGTTGAGGAATTCAAGCGTAATAGTATGATATCTTTATATTTGGCTGGAAGCCCACAAGTGGCTATCGTTAGAGCATTCCAGCATTTAAATGTGAATAAATCTCTTGTGTCTCGTAGCCCGACGTCAAGGAAGTGGACGGAAGAAAACAGCAACGTCAGCAGAAATGATTCGAAAAGCGAAGAAGCGACTTGATCAAAACCCGCGTCGCAATGGCCGAAAATGGCTCGTGAGCTGAACATTCAGTAACAGCCGATGGTCGCTCTCCGCTCGTATTAATCGACCGTGGCATCAGAATAAATGCCGAATATTATCGCAAAATATTCTGGAGGGTGTATTAAAGCCTTGGGCACCCAAACATTTTGGCCGCAGACCTTGGACATTCCAACAGAACTCAGCACCATCGCACTCAGCACGCGCAAACCAAGAATGGTTACAAAATGAGGTTCCTCGCTTCATTTCCAGCGCACAATGGTCATAATTCGTGCTAAAGGTGACCAATTCGAACAAATCTAAACTTATTCTAAAATTTGATGCTATTTCAATAAAATTTAAAGAAATTTAAAAATTATGGCGTTTGACTTTGTTGCAGTTTTCTTATCTCACCCTGTATATCCTCTCTAGCCATATGGCTGAGAGTATAAAATTGTGGGCAAGAACCCAGAAATAACTGAAATCAGGGGATAACTTCCATATAACGGTTCCTTCGGATATTCGGTATTTTGACGATTTAAAACACATATAGGTTCACGTTTTCCTATAGCCCGCCTATAAGAGTACCTCGCGATAACAGATATTTTAATGATTGCAGCCACAGAGTTTGTAAGGGGTTATCCCTCTGGTGGCACAAGATTGTCTGTAAATGTAGGTCATTTACAATAAATAGTATATATTGTTCCGCTCTTTCTTATAGTTTCACATAACTCTTCCTCCTAAGGTTGTTATTTTACGATATATTTTTTCTGAATTTTTCTGAAACCAAGCATTTTTAGTTCTTGGTATTTGACCCGTTTTGTACGAAAAAAAAAATGTTTATTAAAAAATAAAATCGCAATTTCGAAAATGTCTCACCTTTTATTTCCACACTTTCAAGTAGCAACACTAATCAAAATTTAAATCACAATTTCTCACAAAGTCCTACATTCTAATCGCCTGCTGGAATCGAATTCTGGCGTTTCACTTTTTGGTATTCTTATCTCAACCTCTTCAGCCAATAGTGACCCTGACGTAATCTTTCAAGGTTTTAGCGTCAGCGGGTAGTTTTCTCCCACTAATGATGAGTCAGTCACTTCTTATTAGCCTGAAATATAAAATATTTATATTAATAGCAATATTTGTGGTAAATTGACTATATAATGTAAATATATATCAAAAGTGGTCCTATTTTTAAACCCTACACAATATAGTGATAAGAGTATAATGTCTGTATGTATATAACAAAACCGAGTTTTTTCATTTGGTGAAAGTCGGTCTATCGAATATTATTTGTACTAATTATACCCTACACCACAAGGTGGTCAGGGTATTATGTCTTTGTGCATTTGTTTGTAACAGGCAGAAGGAAACGAGATAGACCCATAGTTCCTTTTTATGATCTGCATAGAATCACATTCTGAGTCGATTTATGCATGTCCGTCCGTCCGTCTGTCCATGTATTTTTGTAAACAAAGTACGGTTCGCATTTATTGCCCGATCCAGATGAAATTTTGCAAGGATCTTTTGTTTGGCCCAAGGACGAACCCTATTGAAATTGGAGATAATCGGTCAAAATTTAGATATAACTCCCATATATATCTTCGTCCGATTTGACTTTTATTGTGCACCAAACGTGTAATATCAGCCCGAATTGTATGGAATTTTGCATATACAACCAAATTAGGCCTGAAAATATGTATGCCGAATTTGATCGAAATCGGTTCAGATATAGCTATAGCTCCCATATATATTGTTCATCCGTTAGTTTTGTCTACCGCCGCCGTAATATTCACTATGCAACAACAATATTTGGGGAAACATATCAAACACAGCTCAGAAATACATTTGCTAAATTTTATCGAGATCGGTTCAGATTTGGATATAGCTCTCATATATAACTTCGTCCGATTTACCTTTTATTGTGCACCAAACGTCTAATATTTGTCCAAATAGGATGGAATTCGGCACTTAGGACCGAATTTAGTCTAGAAGCTAGTATGTAAAATTTGGTGAAGATCGGTTCAGATATAGCTATAGCTTCCATATATATTATTCATCCGATTTGTTATATTTGTTACCCACAGCCGTAATAAGCACTCCGTAACAACGATATTCAGGGAAATATATCAAACACAGCTCAGAAATATCTTTGCCAAATATTATCGAGATCGGTTCCGATTTGGATATAGCTCCCATATATATCTTTATCCGATTTCAAATTAATTGTGCACCAAATGGGCAATACAATTCCGAATTTAAAAGATACAAATGCTTCGGCATATTTAGTCCTTTGAACTTTAAATTATAATTATAATCATAGCGTATATGATTGAATTCTCCCATAAAAACTTTTAATTGTTATCTGGAGCTCTACTTAATTAGCAAAGTGGTGTAGGGTATCATAAAGTCGGCCCCGCCCGACTTTCAGACTTTCTTTACTGGTTTTTTTTTTCAAATTTGTTGAAAATCTATTCAGAATTGGATATGGTTCCAAAATTGTGAATACTCTAAAGCTATTATTCGCATTCAAATAAGGTTCAAAGTTGGTATGATCTACTTCACAAAATTTCCCATTATAAACTTTATTCTTTCCAGCACCTATGCTAACTTTTACTTTTAAATTTCTTTTACATTTCTTTTTTTAAATTTTATTGAATGAAAGCAAAAAATGTCGGAAATAGCATCAAATTTTAGAATAAGTTTAGATTTGTTAGAATTGGTCACCTTTGGCACGAATTATGGCCTTCAAATGGCCAATGAAACCGTCACACGCTGACCGAATGTTGCAGTGCGGACAGACACAATAGTCCAACGGTTTGGTATCCGGATAGATGGCCATTGTGCGCTGGAAATGAAGCGAGGAAGCTCATTTTGTAACCATTCTTGGGTGTCGCGTGCTGAGTGCGATGATGCTGAGTCCTGTTGGAATGTCCAAGGTTTGCGGCCAAAATACACCCTCCAGAATATTTTCGCGATAATATTCGGCATTTATTCTGATGCCACGGTCGATTAATACGAGCGGAGAGCAACCATCGGCTGTTATGGCGGCCCACACCATCACCATGGCCGGCGCATGAGTTCCGGCTTTTTCAGCTGACCTCTTCGGCAAG